CATTCACTCTCTCACTCACACCTAGGGACAATTTAGAGTTACCAATTAGAGTTAATAATTATTATTATTAAGTTTTTGGTCTGTGGGAGGAAACCACCAAGGTAGCAGCAAAGTGCATTTCTTTAAAGCCATAGAAGTAAAAAAAAATCAATGTTTTTATTTGATTTTTTGTGTAGTTAAAAAAACCCACTACACTTGCATCATTCACTACAAAAAGTCTACCATATAATTTGCAATAAATGAGTGAAATCAGCAGTCGTATTTTGTTGCCAACAAACACGAGTCATTTGTTTCAACCGAACATTGACGGATACACGTTGGACAATCAGCATGCAACAAACAGTGAGTCAGTAAAATAATCCCTGGATGTAAACAGAGTCAGAGGAATGATGGGATTAGAGACACCAGATCGAGCTTGAAAAAGGAACGTTCTTCTCGTTTCTTCTGAAAAGAAACAGCAACTAAAAAGCTTTAAACAGCCAGAAGTAGTCTTTTAGGGAGAAGAAACCAAGCGGTGGAGAGTGTTAAAGCAAACTTTGGAGTTAAGCTCATATGCGAATGAGTTGTGCTATGTTCTGAACTCTAACAGGAGATTTTCTGTAACTGATCGCAGAATTTTGTTGTAAACAAGGAATATTTCTGGTTTTCTTGTGCAATTTTTACAAAACCCCTGATAAGTTTAAGTTGCACAAACCCCCAAGCAATCAGTCAATGGCTAAACAAAACAATTACAATCAAAAACAGAAAAATTGTGTATTTTGATATTTTATATGGGTTCAAAGAATGCTAGGCCTTTAATAAAATGTATGCAATTTTGAATGGATAAACAGAAGACAGCAGCTCCCTCTGCTAAAATTGATATACAAAGAAAACATTCGTTAGCATCATGTGTTTTCATTTGCTGGCTTTCTATGAATGATCAGGGGAGACAGGCTAATACCCAGATTAGATTTGTCTGTTACTGTGTGAAAAAGTGCTCTAGATTAGAGCAAATTAACATTTCTTCTTAAATTTGATAATAACTAATTGGCAAATTTCAAACAATATTATCGTTTATCGCAATAATTTCTGAGACAATTAATCGTCCAGCAATATTTGTTATCGTGACAGGCCTATATTTATATCAATATTTGTAAAATCGATGAAGCTTTAACCATTTTTGAGTTGGTTAATTTCCATTAGTGGCAGCCATCCTAAACTGGGTCAGCTGCAAAAGTTAACCAGCTGTGGATGTACAGCTAACAGCTACATTCTGATAATGTTTCATAAATGTGTTGTTTCGTGAAACATAAAGAAATGTTTCATAAATATCCATCCAGTGGTTCATGAGATAATCCTAACAGACAGCATTTACACCTTGGCAATAAGTTTTAAAAGCAGATCTTGCACCAGCTGTTAATAAAGTATGTGTTGGGGACAGCAGTGGCTCCTGCGCATAAATATTAATGGGGCGGACATTCATTTCCTTAATAACCACATAAATGTTACAATTTGTTGTACATTTTTTGTGAAAATAGACTTAATGTTGTCTAATATTTATTTAATTACTGGAAGATTTTTTTGTGCGCAATTTGTCAGCCGTTTCCTCCCTGTCACAGTTCAAGGTTGTGTCTGGTGAAAACAATCTGGTCTAATGATTAAACCAGAGAAACAGGCGCCTCCCACACCCGCATCCACCCGAAACGGGAGTATTTTTCATTTTAACTGGGTAAAATTAAACAGACAGGTGCACAGCTTACTGGATTTTATTTATAAATTGATTTTAAGTAATTATTATCCTGATGCATGCTCAATAATCCAGGTAGAAAAATCCAAAAAAGTTCAATCTGGTCCTCTGGACATTTTTTTTTTTTTGAATGTCCAGAGGACCAGATTGAACTTTTTTGGATTAAGTAATTATTCCACAGAAAAACTCCACATTACCAAAGTTAAATGGGGGAAACAACAGTGAAGTAATTCTATCCATCCATCCATTATATTTGCCCGCTTCTTCCTTTTCAAGTTGCGGGGGTCACTGGTGCCCATGTCCAGCCATCACTGTGTGAGAGGCTGGGGACACCCCTGGACAGACAAATGCAACAACCATTCACTCTCTCACTCACACTTAGGGACAATTTAGAGTTACCAGTCATGAACGTTTTTGGTCTGTGGGAGGAAACCAGAGTACTTAAAGGATACCTACGCATACACATACAAACTCCACCCAGAAAGGCCCCCAGCCGGGATTTGAACCGGGGCATACCTGCTCACTGAGAGGCAGCAACTCTACCAACTGTGCCACCCCAGGTGACTCTAAACCCATACTAAAAAAAGGATAAAAGTTAAAAAATTATATACTTTAAAGCTCCAAGCAGGGTTTGAACCCGCAGGCACTTGGCTACGTATGTCTTCCTCAGTTTTGTGTGTTCTGTTCGGGTCCCCTCAGTCTGCTCCAAATTGGATTCATACAGATTATCTCCACTGATGGACACAGCAGGTTTCACTACCACCATTCCTACATTTGATGAGCTCATGTTAGGTCTAGTGTTAGTAGTGGTCATATTGATGTGCTAAAACCAGCAGAATGCGTCCATGGGGCAGAATATTTTATGCCCCAATGAGACTCTATTGAAGCTGCCTGTTCCAGTATCTGCAGACAGGGGGAGATATGATAAATAAAATAATTAATCTGCTGACAAACGTGGTTGGTGACCTCTACAGCCCCATAGCAGTAAAAAAAAAGTAAAATTAAACTTTTAAATTACATTTAAAATTGTCAACATAATTGAAAACCACAAAGAACAAAACAATATGCATCAAGCTAAGTAAATAAGTAATTTACATAATATATTAGGAGGAACTAGGCCTGTCACAATAACAAATTTTGCTGGGTGATTACATGTCCCAAAAATTATTGCGATAAATGATAATATTGGTTGAAATTTAACAATAATTAATTGTCAATTTTTAGAAGAAATGTTGATTTGTTTGGAGTGTAGTACCTTTCTTGACCACCTGATGGCAGTATAAGACTGTTTGAACCAAAGGATGGATAGTTGAGCAGCAATCTCTTTAAGAAAAATGGGAAGGAGGCCCCTTGACGTTAACATGGGCTGACATGGTGACATGGCGGACGCTCGGCGAGCTGAGCTCTTTAGCATAGCATTTTTCACACAAAGCTTTTAATAAAAAAAATCAGTAAACAAGTTCTCAGCTTCTTTTTTCGGAGAAAACAACTTTTTACACCAAGGCAAGGGTTTCAACCGTGAACTTTGGAGCTTCGACAAGACGGAGGTTTATTCCCGAGGTCGGCCTGTTAGCTTAGCTCGTAGCTTAGCTTCTCAGCTTAGCTGCTTTTAATGACCCAAAAACTGATTTTTTTTTTTTTAAGTGAAAGGGAGAGGTCAGTGAAGAGCACCGGAGTTGAGCCGCGTCTTCAGAAGAAAGAGAGACACACGAAGAAACAATAAAGCCGGTAAATGAAAATGAGGTTGATAATTTTCATTCATCATGCGATTAATTGATTTATTGTTTATCGCGACAGGCCTAGGAGGAACTACTTTGTGGGGCGAATTAACTTTTTACGTGAGGCAGCGCTTCCACCTGCCATGGCTGCGTCTGGTTAGGGTTCAATCTCAGCAACTACCACACCAGATTGGAGCTCATCTGTAAATATGAGGTACGTGTTATGGAGTATAGCCATTTTTTGTGTTTGCGAAGGTCGCTTAGCTGTGACGGCCATCTTAAATGAGATTGGCTCTAACAGTAATCAGTTGTGGACGTACACTCAATGATTGCTTTTGAGTTTAATTAAAATCCATCCAGTGGTTCATGATATATTTGCTTAAGTTTGAAACAAAACACACATGAGGACAAAAATATTATCACTCTGCATGATAAAAAAAAAATACATTTACTCCTAAAGAGAAGGGGACTTTCCTTATTTATCAGCTTGTCTTTTTTCAGTTATCTGGTGGAAACTAAGCAGGAAACCTGATCTGACAGCAGAGCAAGCTGCAGGACCTCGGCTGGCCTGCACTGTGGATGAATACTACATACGTTATCAGTTCACGGTAAGTCACCAGCTTACTATAGTACACTCTCTCACACATATGCACCATTATTTTCTTTACCGTTTTATGCATTTCCTGTCTCGCCACCAGAGCTGGTGACAAGCCTGCAGAGAACTTCAGCTGCGTTCCTCTTTTTTATTTTAACTTTATAAAAATAAAAGAACAATTGTGCAACTCTTTTAACTTGGCGAGTCTAATTTGGAAACTGCGGTCGTCTTCTTATTGAGCCTCTCAGCTGGTCACATGGCAAAGTTCAGGTGGTTGTCTGCAATGGACCAGTGAAGAAGAGGAAGTGATACTGGGAGCAGAACAAAGTTTGCTGCAGTACGGCACACACGCCTTTAAAAACACCGTACTATGTTTTGTGCAGAAGGGCCGGTGTTTATTATTTTTTTGGAATCCATTTTGTGCAGAGGTCCGTGTCTAGACAACCACCCACCCACCCACCACCACCATCATCATCATGATGGACTGCCTGCCCACCCACAGACACACACATCGCCACCCACCCACACACAAAATAACCCCCCCCCCCCACCATTTTACAGCTCCGCTCAACATGTCAGGCTCGGTGTTAAAGAGGGAAAAATGCAACTTTCTGGTGCAGCCATCTCCCTCTCAGAACCAGACATCTCAGCTTTCAGGACTCTTACGCCTCCTTCTACTCTTACAGCTCACACCGTCTCCTCAGCAGGCGCCTCCTCGAAGTGTTCTCACTCTCATTTATCAACGCTGGCAAGCACCTGCTTTGGGTTTAACACCTGCCTGCCAACACAAACGTTCATCAACGAAGAGGCCAACAGGTCACTCTGACAGTCCTGCAGCCCTGAACACACACACACACACACACACGCACACACACCAGCACTCCTTCAGACAGCGAGCATCCGTCCACACACCCACAGCCATATGCAGCGGAGCGATTTGTGAATGAGCCGCTGCTCTTACCTTGGCACTGGAATCCCTGCTTCCCAAAGCCCCTGTGGACAGAGACAGTGATGAGAAATGTCAGGAATTCACTGGCGCGCGCGCGCGCGCGCACGCACGCACCGGTTACATATTCAGTCATACATCAACACACAGCTGTAGCAGAGAGGCAGCAGCGACGGCGGGGCCCCTTGTCTCCATCAGCATTCCTCTAGTTTATCAGAGGAGCCTGTCGGGGGCCCGATGCGGTAAAAGCGCCGAGCGGCAGCGGCTGCAAACCCCCCCGCACACCCCGCACACCCCCCAACAGGCCCCGCGGTGCTGTCGCATTGAAGAGGACTGCGGAGAACCGCCGTGTTTTTTTTTTTTTTTATGACGGGGACAGTGAATGCATCACTGCGGTGTTCAGTGTCCACACAGGGCGGATTAGAGCCGCAGCAGCAGCAAGTGATTCACCTGTGTCCTTTCCGCTCCTCGCGCACGCACACACACATATACACTCACACTGGCGCGCGCTCACTCACCAGATGAAGTCCGTACAGTGGCTGCAGAAGGTCGGCTGCTTGAAGAAGCGCGCGATGAACTTGTGGTTCTTCACCTCGTGCACATTCTTCTGACGCAGGGCTCCCTGGCGGGCGAAGCCGCGCGCGCTCTCCGGTGCCTCTCCGTCGCTGTTGGGGTCAGCCATCTTAACGAGGAAGCGGCGGCGGTCCGAGAGGTACGAAGGGTGAGCAAAGAGACGACAGAGAGGGAGACACGACGGAGGCGGCGAGGCGAAACGACAGGTACCTCCTCCTCCTCCTTCGTCTTACCCTTCTCCTCCTCTCCGCCCCGCTGTCCGCCTCGGTGTCGCTCGTGCCGCCGGTGTTCCTGACGGTCTGCGTCCAGCTCGCGCTCAAGCTGCTGCTGTTTCTTCCGGTGGGTCCGCGTGCGGCGCGCCTGCCTGCTTCCCTGTTCGCAGCAGAGGGTTGCAGCTCTTTCTCTCTCACAGACGTACGAACACGCACTGCACGCGCCGGGTCTTCTAACTACAAGGCGCGCGCAGACTTGTCTGTCGAAGTTGAAGCTCAAGTCCTGCAGACTTCTTCTTCACTAGTTGGTTGCTCAAAGGCACCCGGGCCCCAGATTCATTTAGCTGTTATTATCTGTACAGCACGTGCTCAAACACGATCTTGTAGCCTCGTTTGAAACTGAGGTGTCGAAATTAGAAAATGTGATATTTAATTTGTTAGCTTCTTTAGCTATTGTTTAGCTACTTTTAGTCTCCAACTACTGTTTTGTTAATTTTAGCTTGACTTTTGCTCATTGTGGCTAGACTTTTGTAACTTTTTAGGTTTTTAACTTTTGCTACTTTTGGGTTTTAGATATTATTATTTTGCTACTTTTAGCTATTAGCTAGCCTTTTGCTAATTTTAGCTTCTAGTTATTTTGTTACTTTTATCGTCAATCTATTATTTAGTTTCTTTTAGCTTCTAGATATTTTAGTTTGTATTTATTGTTTTTTTTTTTTTTGCTTTTAGCTTTTTTGTACTGTTTAGTTATTTTTAGTTTTTATCAATTTTTTGCTAATTTTAGCTTCTAGCTCTAGTTGCATTTTTAGCTTCTAGCTATATTTTTGTTACTTTTAGCTTCTAGCTAGTTTGTTTTGTTTTAGCTTTTATTTGTTGTTATTGCTTTAGCTTTTATCTACTGTTTAGTTGCTTTTAGTTTTTATCTATTGTTTTGTTACTTTAAGCTTCTGGCTATTTTGTTTTAGCTTTTATTTATTGTTTTATTGCTTTTAGCTTTTATCTGCTGTTTAGTTAATTTTAGATTTCATCCATTTGTTTGCTAATTTTAGCTTAAAGCTATTGTTTTGTTACTTTTAGCTTCTAGCTATTGTTTTGCTTTAGTTTTTATCTATTTTGTTACATTTAGCTTATTGTTTTGTTACTTTTAGCTTCTAGCTATAGTTTTGTTGCTTTTTCGTATTAGCCTTTTGCTAATTTTTGCTTCTATTGTTTCATTACCTTTACCTTCTAACCATTGTTTTGTTTTAGCTTATCTATTTAGTTATTTTTATATATTGTTTTGTTACTTTCAGCTTCTGGCTACTGTTTTGCTCATTTTAATTAGCAATTCGCTACTTTTATTTTTTAACTGTTCGTTTTATTTTAGCTTCTAGATAGCGTTTTGTTTCTTGTAGCTCCAACAACTTGCAGCCTCCACAATTTTTATTCACAGAAAAAAATACATTTCTCTCGTTTGTATCCTGATGCATGCTTTTTTGCAGCTCCTCAGACTGAAGAAGTCTTTTGGTTAAAAGACGAAACGTTTCAACAAAGAAGAATCTGTCCAGAGGACCTGACTCGACCTTATTAGTTTCTCTAGTTTGTGTTTTAATTATGTTCACTTTAAATAAAAATGTATTCATCAACAGACAAAAGTCAGCTTAAACCACAAACGTCTTAGCTTTATGTAATCATTGTCTATGTCTGTTCAACATGTGTGTTCCCTGCTGAGAAAAAAAAAAAAAACTTGATTCTTCAGCTGTGATTAGACTAAATCACAGTTTCACCCGTTTCATTTATCATCTATTAACAGATTTACACAAGCTCTTAAAAATAAGGAACAAAATGTGTTTTTTAATCCAAATCTTCACCTCGAAAGAGCCCAGTTTACAAATGAGCCACACAAAGACAAAAAGTAATGCAGTCGTTTAAAACCCTAAGATGTTTTCTCAGCTGGCTCAGAAACAGGACTACTGTCCTCGCAGAGCAAAAGAAGAGAATCAATTTATTGATCAAAGTAGGTTTGATGCTGCTATGATAGGTGGTGACTCGCCCTTTTCAGCTGCGCTCTTTCCACGTGGGCCGATCGACAAACGATTCCGCTGGTGGCAAACTGGAGCTGCATCGAGCGGGGAGCAGCTTTACATCAGTGGACGTTATGTATATGCAGGACGTTTTAGTGGCACTTATTTAACATTTTCATTGTTTCTGGTTTTTGTTTCTGCTTCTGTGTACATGCACACTTAATTTGACTCTCACTGTCATAATCTAGGTGAGTTGGAGCCTCTTGTTAGGTACAAATTCTGTTGGATTATGATGTTAAAGTTATAGTTTTAGCTGAAACAACACTGTTTTTTGTACCTAATGTAAACCTTTTGGTTCAGATCATAAATCAGAGTTAAGACAATATATTTTGTCTTTGCACAATGTCAAAAAGCAAAGGAGAATACAGCCTGTGCAAATGTTTGTGTGTCTGTTAACAAAACATCTCATGAACGAATGGACACATTTTAAGGAATCTTTATGAAAGAAATAATTAAATGTACATCTACAGCTGATTAACTTTGGGAGTCATCTTATTCCAAGATGGCCACCACAGCTGATCGACATTAGCCAACACCAACATGGGTACAGCTCTGTCAGTTTGGCAAATGTTAAGCTGTAATTTGTTGTGGTAGTTGTTTAGAGTCATCTTCAACACATTCTGGATGTGCTCTGTCGCTGCAGGTTTTTCTAGACAAAAATATGTTTAACATTAATCTGGAGAAATATGAATTAGGTTTGTTAATTTAAAGTAAATCATTAAATATCTAAAGAAATTGCATTTCCTGCGATAATGCATTGTGAAAGCTTATTGCAGAAGAACTTGTTAAAAAAAACAGCTGAAATTAGCTAAAAAAATAAAAAACATTCTGAAATGTAGATGAAATGGAAGAACAAGCCCAATTTAGTAGAAAGGACATATTTGCTGAGTTAGGTTTAAATGAACAGAAGTGAGCAAAAAAAAGGCAGAAATAAGCTTTAAAAAAATGGCCGAAAAGTAGCTGAAAGGGCTGAAAGAAGCTTAAGCTACCAGAAGGAAGTGGAAAGAACTGAAATGAGCTAAAAAAAAAAAGGGGGGGGGGGGGGAGTGGAATTTGCTGAAAAAAGTAAAAACAGCATCAAAAGAGCTACACAGTAGCTGAAAGAGTAACATAAGCAGAAACTAGCAGAAAAAAAGAAAAGCTGACATTAGCATAAATAAGTTAATCAGGCTGACAGAAAATAGTGGAAATTTTATGAAAAAAGCTGAAGTTGGCAACAAAAAAAACCTGCTGAAAAGTAGCTAAAAAGGCAGCATTACAGAAGGAAGTAGAGAGAGCACAGTTTTGCTGAATTAAGCTGGAAAACGTTGAAATGAGTGCAAAAAATGTGTAATTAGCTGAAAAAGCTTAAATTAGTATAAACACAGCTAAATAGTAGTAGAAATGGCAGAAAAAGCTGAAACTTACAGAAAGAAGCTGAACGGAGCAAAACTGCTAAAATAACAGAAAGTAGCTGAAAAAAGTTTACATTTGCACAAGGAAGCTGAAATAAGAAAACCGATCTAAAGATTTAAAGGATGTAAAATGAGCTCAATTCGTTTTCTATGAGAAAAAATTGGTAGAAACGGGTCAATATTTCAAAAAGCTAAAGTTGCACCAATACCAAAAGTCATAACACCCTTTTCCTGAATGAGTTGAACGTTTTGATACATGATTTGTTGTAATAGCACAAAAATTTTGGGACGAGAAAGATGCAGAAAAACGTACGGAAGAAAAATGGATCACAATGGTGTGACTGCTTCATAAACATTCACACTATTAGCGATGTTAGTATAACTGCTGATACATCTAACTAGCATTTCGTTGTAGTAATGGTTGTCGAGTAGCAGCCTCTAAATTAGTATGATCTATTGGGTATTTTCTCTTTATAACTGTACTTTATCTAAAATGTTATAAATATGCATTCATGCCAGTCTCCTTGACAAGAAAAATAATTGTTTTTAAATCATGTTTCTTCATCAAACAGGTGTGTGTGTGGGTCTAATTTGAATTGAGGTAATCGGGCGTCCCCTTTGATTGCGCGTAGATTCAGCTGAGCCTTTAATCTCTTTTCAGCAGACATGCTGTGTGTGGGAGGTTGTGTGTGAAAGATGGAAACCGCTGCCTCTTGAATATCCGAGCCTGTGATGTTACTGGTTTCATGTGAGGGAGAGAGTGAGGTGGGGGGCTTAAAAGAAAGGTGTTCATTTGTCACCTGCCAACCGCTCCAAACAGACGCGTAGCTGGACCCGAGCGTTCAACGAACAGCCTGTTTTAGAAATACGTGGATTATTATGCAAGTATGCAAAACATTTCATTGGGTGCAGCAAACACACGAACCGTCTTCCACTGTGGGGTTCGAAACACACCGCTGCTTTTGTTTGGGTCGAGTTTAGACACAAAGTATTGAAAATCGTTCACATATTTTATGTTACATCACAAGTTTGTTCATGGAGGAGTGTATATGTGGAGAGATCATTTTATCATTAAAGGAGTGGTCATTCCCAGGATGTGTCTGGAGGTTTCTGCATGAAATTGCCGTGTCTTGTTCTAGATCATGGCTTCAAACGTGACATTAGCCAACACAAACCTAACTCTAGCCTTAAACATTAAATTACATTACTTTAAAGATATTTTGTAGGGATGCACGATATTGGATTTTTGTCCGATATGTTAAAAACGTATTTGGCCGATACCGATGCCGATTTGTTTTAACAACGTTAGTCACCTGCGATGCTGTCTCACTTGTGGAGGCTTGTTCCAGGTTCCTAGCTGCTGTGGGATCTGCTGCACTCTTGTGCATGAAGGACAGACTTTTAAGTTCAAAGTTTTTCTCTTTCCATTGTGCCGTAAGACTAATCATGCTAACGGGGCTAACACGACGTCCAAATGTCTGTGGTAAAACTCACCCAAGTGCTATCGGCTATTAGCTTCTCAATGACGTTGGAAATGACGGCGTGTAACTCGGGTAAGGTTACATCGGAAAAATATCTCGGACTGGAGACGATGTAGCGAGGCTCAACGTAGTCCAAAAATCTTGGGAATCTGACATCCTCAACAAAAAAAAATTTCAACACCGCCGACGTTTTGACTTCTTCCTCTCCGCCGTGATCAGATCAAGTAGGCGTGCGTGACGTCATCGACCATGAGATCCTCATTTCTAGGCTGGAGCAGTGGGTGGGCATCACAGGATCAGCCGTCAAGTGTTTCAGATCCTACCTCGCTGACAGATCCTTTTGTGTCTC